TTTAGCAACAAAGGTAAAAGAAGACCGAAGAAAGTATGGATGGATTGTAGAAGCGTGTATACTTAAGGGAGTGAATTCAGATATAACGACTTATGGAGATGTATGGTAGGTAAGAAGTAAAAGGCTAGTATGGTATTGGCTTGTTATAAGGAGGGAGGAACGTTAGTTATGAGTGGAAGAGTACACCGGTAGAGGTAGACTTAGAAAGAGATGGATGTATTGCGTGAAAGGTGACATGATCAAGAAGGGAGTGACTGAGATGACGCATGATAGAGTTATGTGGAGGACAAAAAGCCGTTACGCCACTACGGGAGTAGGATAAGGAGGAAGTAGAGAAAGAAGAGAAAGAGAAAGAAGAGTAGTAGAGTAAATGATTCTTGTCATTGAAAGAATGTTTACATTGTGGAATTACATAAGTACCAAGAGTTTTTAACCTATATTCAATTAGTGAATGAAGTTTGTAGAAAACTGCGGATGTTTTAAAAGAAATATTTGCTGCCAGCGAGCATTGATACATTACGTAATACATTTACGATATTGGTTCGGAAATGACGTTGTTAGGGTAGAACGATCAAATAGTACCGACCGCTATATTCCGTATTACTTTTTTTTGTTTTCTTTTTTTTTATTCGGTATATTTAGCCAGTATCACTATCATGAAAACTAAAAGTTAAACATTTACAAAGATAATAAACGATAAGTTATCATGAAGTTATGTTTAAGTAATTATTCGATAGTTAACACGTTGAGTGCTACCGACTTACTAGCGAAGTCATTTTTATACAATTTTTGATAACAGAGTACAAATGTTGTTCGATTTTCGCAGCCAATTCAACTGTTTAGTTGCACAACTAACAATCGAATAGTGTGCTCACATCCATACGCTTATAGGAATCAACGCGAGACTAAACAGTTGTGCGAGAGTTTAGTCAATGGGTGCGCTCGCTCTAAGAATCCTAGGAAGTCTATAAGTTCTCTAGGTAATTAATCATAGTGGATACTTTGTCTTCCAGACTTAGAACTAAAAACAGTCATCAATTACGTTCGCGGACTTAGTTCATGTTACACAAACCATTAAGAGAACGCTGTTCTTGAATGTAAATTGGTTTCGTGAAAAATTTATAATTCTTAAGTAACTTTTAAGCCAGACAGCCTTATTTTTATGTATGTCTTGTTACTATGACAAATAATGTCCAAAATTATATTTTTTCACATTAAGGTCTATATTAATGTTATAAAGAGGAAAGATTTGTATTTTTGTATGTATTGAAATAACTCAAAAACTATAGAGATAAATATATATAATAACTCAAAAACTATAAATAGTCTATTTCAAAAATTCTTTCTTCATTAAAAAGCCTTGTTATTACTAAGTAACATAGGCTATGTTTTTTATTATTTTCTTTTATTTCACATGTGAGAAGTCGCGAGCAACAGCTAGTATTAAATAAATCCTTTAATTGTTATTTAGAGATTGAAAGATTAGTCTCTAGACGTCCATATCATTTTGTAGTTGGAACAAAACATCTTAATACTATAATGGAATTTGCGTTTCTGTATGTTAAACAATACTATTAACATTACAGTATTTTTATTATCAAAGAAAGCATACTCGTATAAGCAATTTATTTAGATTGGCAAAGTTGAGTATTCGCGTGTTTTTGAACCATTTGTACAGAAACAAGTCGCCTTTCGCTCAGTTATTTAATACGACCTGACATCGAAACCTTCTTTACTGTCGGTCAAGGGAATTGAACTCCGAAAGTATCAATTTGTGTCAAAGTAGGTTTTATAATCTGTGCAATGTTCAATAATGTATTTAGCGATACTTTGAAATGTTCTCCTTGTTAAAATATTTAATTTTCAAATCAATGGAATACAATTTACTTATTATTTTTAATGAAAAATAATGACTTAAGTAATGACTTAAGAAAACTCAGTATGTTTTTAGTAGCGAGGTGGCCTTAAAATAGTTCAGTTGTTTCTAAATTAAGTGATGTCAAATCCATACTTACGTTAAAGCGATGATAATCTTACTAATATAAATGCGAAAGTTTAGATGGATGGATGTTTGTTAGAGTTTGTAGCCTAAACGGCTGAACGGATTTCGATGAAATTTGGTGTAGATATAGAGGATAGTATGGAAGAAAACATAGTCTACTTATTTTTTTTTATTCCACGCGGACGGAGTGGCGGGCGAAATCTAGTAGGTAATAAATATTACCAGAATTATACGTATTGTCATATTTATAATAATAATTGAGAATCATTTTAAACTCTCCTATTTAGTAATAATTTTTAAACGTTTTCGAGTTCATTCCGCCTTCTCATTAGCTTTGTCTTTTTAAAAAAGGCTCAAGACAGTTCAGCGATATTTTAATTTGCGAGCTCCGCCTTTGTTCTTTATTCATTTGTTGGAAAAACCTCTGTGGTACTTTCATGACCAAAAGCTTTTAGAAAATGTATTGTTTTCACTTTTGTGTAGGCCAGTATCATTTGGTTTTACAGTTATTTATATCTGGTATAAAAACGTCTATACGTTTCTTTTAAAAACAAACAATTAATATATGAAACGACTAAACGGTTTGTTTTAACATCACTGGTAACAGATCACAACAATTTTTCAGTAACCAATTAAGATAAATTAATAATAACACCGAGAAAGAGATAGAGGATGTCTTTTGTCTCACAAACCGTTGCCGGCCTGAGTCAGACGAAACGCGAGGAGCCAGTCCCTCGTCAGCACTGTTCTCATCAGCACGCACATCGCCACTTCGAGCTTTGCAGGAAGAATAGCTTGCCCGAGCGAGATCCTCCCGAACCTAGGACCAGAAAGAACAGCCTGCCAGCAGATATCCTCGATAGGCTGTCTGAGACGTCCTCAACGCCATCTATTAACGACGAGTGACAACTATCGCCGTAAGTCAATAATCGGTGTCCCCCCTGCCACTCTTTAGTCGCATGGACCGCACTAGAGGGACAGGCTTCGTGGAACAGGCCCCTTGCATGTTTAGCAGCTTGTGTGACCACCTTAGGGTTGGAAGTTGCACGAAAATGTATAGATGTGTTGTAAAAGATATTGTTTTAATGTTCACTGTTATAATTATGTAAATATTACAGGATCAAAGTAGAAATGAATACTTTGATGTCTGTGTTTTGATTACTTTTATTGTGTTTTTTTAACTGTTTTAACTATAAAGAAAAAAAAACGAATGAATAACTTGATGGTAAATTTACTGCAAATTTAAAGTATAATAAGTGATTATAATTAGAAAACCTAACACAATAAACGCAAAGAAATTACGAATCAACAAACTTTTAAAATATGCTGTCTATTTGTTCATAGGCCTACAATCATAGGTACCAGGATCAAAGGACTTGAGCTAAAATAAGACGCTAAACGTTCATTAAAAGTTATAAAATAGTTAAAAGCCAGTTAATATAATCTAAGTTAAAATGTGGTATACTACTGGTAATCTATTCGCTGTTTACTAAAACTTGCTACCAACTAACGATATATTAAAAAACATTTTCTTGGCTCACTTATAACATATTGGGTATAAACGTTAACTCATTACGTCACGCGAACCTTTTCTTCGAGTGTAAAGAATACTAAATAATACCAACATGCAATACGCCCATCGTTATTAAATAACGGTTATTGTATAACAATAACAAGTTTATTCGAAAGATTAAAGGCCTGTCCCACCACTGGCTGATAGAGAGCTTAAAAATGACGTCACTGTTAGATAAGGGAACATAATCCGATATTTCCATCACATATTTTACACCTTGTATTGTTTTTAGACAATTTACAATTCGGTGGGAGAGGCCCTAAAAATTAGTTCTGTCAGTTTTAACTGATTTATCGAAATGCTAAAAAAAATCGATTACATAAATTCTTTCATCGTTAAAAAGACATGTTATTACTAAGTAACATAGGCTTTGTTTTATTATTTTTTAATTTTACCGGGACAAAGTCGCGAGCAACAGATATTATAAAATAAAAGGTTGAGCTATCATTTCACGGTCACCTAATGAGCTACAAATCTATTTAGATTTAGCAAAGTCATGATGCATTAAGATAATTCAATGCGGATATTTTGTACCAGTCATCGTCTTGCCATCAGACTATACGAGTATATACTCCATATCGGGATTTTCGCCGAATCATGTTCAATGAGTCGAAATTACTGTCGAGAAAGTCGATGATACGAGTTAATTAAAATTTTAGCTTCGATTTTACTAGAAATTATGTGCTGATAAATCTACAATATTCCCTAACCCTATCATAAAATCTAATGAAATACGATCGTGGACTTAAAAATCCAACATTCTAACAAGAACGGACCATGTTTTATCAATATTGGATGAAGAAAGGGGAGCTCTCAAAGATCTCACGAGGAGATTAGGCACGTTCTTTGAAAATGTTCGTATCTTTCATATTTTATCTTAGAATAGTATATTTGTAAATAGCTTCAATATAAGATAAATCTTTTGACAATCGATGATTTGTAAGTTTTGTTTAACATTTAACTGTTACTCTTCGAACACTTTTACTTTGAAATTAATGTCTTCAGATACAATATTTGCGAACAAAGAATATCGTATCAAGAGTCAAAACCAGTCGCTAACTGATCTGATCCATTAAAGAGATCTTCAAAGATCCTATTTACGGTAACTACTTGCAAGTGATACAAGAGCGTCGGTGGCTCTGGTTTAAGCACTTGACTTATAATCTACAGGTCTTGGATTCGAATCCCGCCGTACCAATGTGATTTTT